CCCCCTGCCGGCATGGTTGGATGCGGATAAGATTGTGGTGGGGGTGGGGGGGGCGGGAATCTCATGGGCATTGTGTGATGCTGCGGTGCCCGTGGAAGCGACGGTAGAGGCCCAGCTACACCAGGCATCGGCGGAGGCGGGAACATGCCGCGCTGCTGGAACACGGACATCCAGGTTTGGGGATGTGGGGGTAACTGCAGTGGCCACGCGCCGGATTAGGCCCATTAGCCGAATTGGCCTGGAGGCGAGGCAGGCTGGCGCGCACTTCCTTGCCCGATATGGCAGCTGATGCTGCATGTTCTTGGCCCACGGAAGCAAAGGCCCCCCCCGGTCCAGCAGCCGCCGCCTCCCCTCACGCTTCAATCGCATCCACCACCACCACCACCACCACCCAAGCTACCACGATTCTGACGCAGAAGAAGCTTCGAAACTCTTCAATCCATCAAAGAACCTTTTCAAAAGCCGCCAACATGGTCAAAGCAGGTACGTACGATCGCTCTTTGGCTGCACAGGGGAGGGGGCTTGTCTTGTTTGGGCAAGGTGGGGTAACGGGATGCGTGGGATTGAGCACATTGTGTACTCTATTATACCCACGACGACAACGAGGAGCTGGGTGTCATGTGCTCAATTGGACAATTGGACACAAGAGCTCGAGAAGGGCCATCGATCTGGGGAGACGCACTTGGGCCAGGGTGCCATCAGACGAGTACCTGGCTTGTGGCGAGGGGCTCCAATCAGCTTCTGCCGCCTCTGGCACCTTGATGGTCATCCTGTACTTCTGTGCCTCCCTCGAGCTTTGCTGGTCATGGCCAGACGAGATGGGACGGCTGGGATGACGACACTTTCACCGGCTACCTGATGGCCAGGCCATTGGTTGCGAGCGGATCAAGCTTCTCAGGCAATGCAGCTATCCGCTCCCGCTCGACCTTCACCTGGCACACCCGCTTTTCTGCTCTCCACCATGTACAGCAGTAACCCCAGCTAACACCTTGTCCCAGTCGCCGTCCTCCGCGGAGACTCGAATGTCAAGGGCACCGTGACCTTTGAGCAGGCCTCCGAGTCCTCCAACACCACCATCACATGGAACATCACGGGCAACGACCCCAACGCTGAGCGTGGCATGCACGTCCATGCTTTTGGCGACAACACCAATGGCTGCACGTCTGCGGGGCCCCATTTTAACCCCTACAACAAGACGCACGGTGCGCCCGAGGATGAAGAGCGTCATGTGGGCGACCTGGGCAACTTCAAGACAGATGGACAGGGAAATTCGCAGGGGACTGTTGAGGATAAGTTGATCAAGTTGATCGGACCGGACAGCGTTGTTGGCGTAAGTCTTTTGCTCGACATGGGGAAAGAAGTGGCTTGTTAGGGGTGCGAATCAGCTATTGACAAGCAAACAGCGCACCATTGTCGTCCACGGCGGCACCGACGATCTCGGTAGGGGCGGACACGAGGAGTCCAAGAAGACTGGTAACGCCGGTCCTCGTCCTGCTTGTGGTGTCATTGGCATCTCCAACTAGATGGTCTCCAGACCAATGCAATATCAGACACTCGTTGATACAGGCTACGAAAAAGTGTGGGCTAGTAAGTTTACTTGAGAGGTCTGAGTAGATGTCAAGATGAGAGAAGATGAGAGTAATTGAATATACATATGTGTAGCTAAACACGTGCATCTGGACCCTAGATTTCTTGCAAGGTTGCATATTTTGATCAGCCATGTGATGAATTTCACTCTGTTCTCCCCGACTCGTCTTGATATCCAAGTATATATCCATCTCTCTCTCTTAACCTACCCTTTCTTCTCCTCCCTCCCCCCTCATCCCCCACTCCT